AATACACACAGCAGAGTTACAAAGTCATTAAAATGATGGTGTTTCATTGATTTCAAAAGATTTTTAAAAGATACTGTTAAGTGGAAAACATAGTTTACAAAATATTATATACCTTATGATTTAGTTTTTTAATATATATGGAAAAAGTCTATTAAGTGGTTATAACATAGTGGTAGAATTATTTTCAATTTATACTTTTTCTATAATAAATGTAGATTGTTTTGTGACAAAAATAGGTTTAGATAAAATAAAGTAGGATTTGCTGAGAACCTATGAATATGATATATATTATGAGTCTATCATATAGGAAAATTTTGCTATCTTGTTGTATACTTCAAATAGTCCATCAAACAAGATTTTGGCTAAATTTTATTTTATCATAATTCATATGTAAATCAAAGACAGAATAATTTATGTATTATACTTTTGAGGCCACAAAATTAATGAGGATTTAAAATATAGGGTGTTTTTTTTTTTGGCCATATATCTCAGTAGCATAAGTGCCTGCCTGGCAAGAGCAAGGTTGTGAGTTCAATTCCAGATATATATATTAAGTTAAGTAATAAGTCTGAAACAACATCTGATGTCAAATATAGAATTGCTATAAGCCTGGATGCTGCAGCCAGTCTTGTCATTGACTTTTTAATCCAGGTTTTGAAATCTTTTTAAATTTATAAAATGTACATATTTCATTTGAGGTTGTTAAGTGTCCCTTTGAAGAATACATATTTAAGATTTCCATGGTTTTTAAAGTCATTCTTTGTAACCATGACTGTTTCCATAATTTTCTGTAAAAATAGACATAACTCTTGGTTATGTTAGGAGGCTGATTCTTTGCTCATCTTGTTTGAAGCTCTTCCATTTGGCAAAATTCCCGTTTTGGAAGTGGATGGACTTATCCTTCATCAGAGCCTGGCAATAGCAAGATACTTGACCAAAAACACAGGTAACGTGTTTATTGTGGTTAACATATGATAACTGAAAAAAATCATCTGACATATTCAATACTCATTAAGTTAACTCTTTTTGCACACAGTAGCACAAATAAGAATGGAATTAAATGGTAGAGCAGTGTCTTTATCAGATTTCCTGTCCAGGAGACACAATAGCTGATACCAACAATAAAAGAAAAAAAGTTCAATTGAGCTCACAGTTTCAGGAGAGTCAGTCCTGCTGGCAGGCTCCAACAGAAGCAGCATGGTGGGTAGAAGGACGTGGCGGAGCAAAACTGCACAGCTGTTGGTGGCCAGGAAGCAGGTCAGGGGAGCAGTGCCAGAGAGGAACGAGAGGGGATCAGATACAGTGACTCTCCCAGACACAAATTTGGCACATTGGGATTAATGGTCTCGGGCAGCACCAGTGTGCCGCCTGTATCACTGTAACTTGCTGCATGTCCCTACAACAACTAGACAACTGCATTTTACAGTGCAATCTGCTCATCTTGCTCCATACCTCTTTGCCTCTTATCTCTGAGCTCTTTATGGAATTTAGTTGAGAAATTGGACAGGTATTTCTCACCCCAACATTTTGCTAGTACAAGTATTATAAGTTATCAGAGAAAGTTAACTAGCCAGAAATACATGTGACATATGAAGTTTAAATTTTCTTGGACAATTAAAGTCATGTAATTGAGATTTCCAGGAAGGTGGTGGAATGGTGACCAGCAGAGAAACAGCTTCTCTGACACTTGGAATCCAGATGCTGGAATATAGCAATGTAAGGAAGAGAATGAGAAGGGAAGTGGGTTTCTGGGACCCAGGAAGGAGCTGAAGCAATAATTAGAGCCCCTGGGGAGAGGGAAGAGAGGTATCACAAACAGGAGTAGGGCAGTGGCAAGCAGCACTGTGAACCTCAAGCTGCTGTGTGGGAGGGGTGGCTCGAACCTGTGGAGGTATATTGACTATTGGCAACCCCAAAGGTCTCCACAGTAAAGGGCACGAGTGAAACAGAAGTGGATACTGTGGGCTGCAGTGGCTGGTGAGTCATT